GTAAATACTGTTTATATCCTAAAGAACACTCGACTGTCGAAAAGGGACGGTGGAAAACTAAAGGCCGAGGAATCCCATTTCGTGTAGAAAGCCTATGAAGGCAAGTGAAGGTAAAAAATTCTTGTGAATTGAAGCGATACGTTTCTCAGAATATTCGAACGATTCGAAGCAATTCCTGGAACTGTACGGTAAATAAATTCGGTGTTTTAGCCAATTTGTATTCAGCCAGGCTTTGTTGTATTCATTTTAGCTTAATTGATAAATTGCTTTAGTTAAATATCGTCGACAGGTTTCAGACAAATAACACGCGTACGCTGATTCTCACGGACTTTTATACAACTGTAGCTTGATTTCACACACTTTTTTTCACCTACTTGTCGTGTTGCGTCAGTTATTTGACACTGTTAATGGTAAATATCAAAAATCGAAAAAAATTGCAACTGATTCAAACTATTTGAGATGGGATGTTACTAAAACGGGGAAAGGGGAGCGGGGAACGGAAGTCTGGGAACGAGTTGTCAGCGGAAACCTCCACAAAAATCCAAAATGGCGGTCTAAAACACGAGAGAGAGAAAGAAGAAGACAAAGAAAGGAATTCGTGCCTTGGTTGAAATCAGGTGGGGATGAAATTGCAAATCAGACTCACATTTTACGTTTACGTTCTGAGCAGGTGGTATGTTTTTCGATATTCAACCTGTTTCATTTACAATATGATAAGGTCTTAGGTCTTAGTTTTCGAGACACCTGGCACACTCACATTACTCCTGGATTACTCCGTTTACTTTAGACCGTCGCTTAATCCTGCCTGTTTACCCCCCTGAATGTTCTTTTTTCCACTCAGACAAACTCTTGGAGAGTAAAGGTTTTATCCAAGAACATTATATGCCCTGTTTTTAGAATGCTTGGTAAATAACTCGCAGGCATTGTAATGAGAAATAAACGTGGAATTTATTAATGCATGTACATATAGTGTTCTCGCGTTCTGTGCTTGAGTCAAACTTTGTACAGCTATTAGTATTTAAAACTAACGGCTAAAACTTTTTTTTTTTTAATTTTTTTATAACTGGGAAAGCTTGTTGTTGTTGTTAGTGTTATATTAAAGTCATTGAGTGATGAATTATGAATCGTTTAAGGTGGCTCCGTAATTAATACAAGAGCATTTAGCTGTGACAAATTTTCCGTCATAACTTTTTCGATTTTAACGCGATGGCTGCGAAACTTTGCAAAGAACAACATATATAATTCGGCAATAATAGGGAATATTCCGATTTTATTGATGGTAAATATTTCTTCAGAAATTTGCCCTTAAAAGGACGCTAATGGTCCAATGAAATTGCGTCTAGTAAAAAATTTTGCTGATATTTTTTACTGAAATTTCTGGTATCGGCTTTAATTGATATAATAAATATGCCAGAGGAATTTCAGAAAAATCGTTGGAGTAGAAGTCCGTGACTAAAAGTCGCTCAAAATTCAGCTGTGAAATTGTTTTGGAATTTCAAAAATAAATTACTATCAGGAAGAAGGAGCCACCAGTTTGAATTTTCGGGACAAGTAAATTCAATGTTTGCTAATTCTTAAAACAAAAACCGATTGCCTGTCGTGCTATTCTTTAAAAGGTACTTTTCAGTTTTAGAAGCACTATTAATTGCTCCAAACCTTGCTCTGACGTCGAATGACTTGTTCCTCGACATTTTTAAAATATCCCTTTGCAGTTTTGGTTCAAACTCTTGCTACATACATTTTGATGTATTGCAATGCATCCTCAACGGGTATTCTTGCTGTACGTTGTTGCCAACTCAGGAAAAAAGTATTGAAATTGTAAGCTACCTTGTATCGAAGCTCAGATAGAACTGTCCAGCACCTTTGTTTATGACCAGAAAATGAGCACGAGCGGCAGCTCTGCGAGGAATTTGCACCTCAGCCAGGGGGGATGAATGACAATGATGCCCATGTCTATGAACCGATCTGTATAAACATGTATTGCAGAGTAAAACATAATAATCAAGAAAAAAAAAATACCCATTCATTGAAGGAAGAAGTGACAAAAATTTCAGAGTTGTAAATTTATTCGCGGGCAGTATTTTTGCGATAATTTTATTTTGCACTGTGATGTTATTCGGTTCACAGGCATGGTCATCATTGTCGTTCGTCCCCCCTGGGTGAGGTGCGAATTCCTCGCAGAACTGCCGCTCGTGCCCATTTTGTAGTCATAAACAAAGGTGCTGGACAGTTCTACCTGAGCTCTGATACGAGGTAGCGTCCAATCTCAATACTTTTTTCCTGAGTTGGAAGCAACGAACAGCAATAAAAGTCGTTGAAAATGCATTGCAATACAACAAAATGTATGCAGCAGGAGTTTGAGCCAAAACTGCAAAGGGATATTTTAAAAATGTCGAAGAACAAGTCATTCTACTTCAGAGCAAGGTTTGGAGCAATTTATGGTGCTTCTAAAACTAAAAAGTACCTTTTAAAGAATAGCACGATAGGCAATCGGCTTTTGTTTTAAGAATTAGCAAACGTTGAATTTACTTGTCCTGAAAATTCAAACTGGTGACTCCTTCTACCTGATAGTAATTTATTTTTGAAATTCCAAAACAATTTCACAGCTGAATTTTGAGCGACTTTTAGTTACGGACTTCTGCTCCAACGATTTTTCTGAAATTCCTCTGGCATATTTATTATATCAGTTAAAGCCGATACCAGAAATTTCAGTAAAAAATATCAGCAAATTTTTTTATTAGACGCGATTTTCTTCGAACAGTAGGGTCCTTTTAAGCGCTAATTTCTCAAGAAATATTTACCATCAATGAAATCGGAATATTTCGTTTTATTGCCGAATGATATATGTTGTTCTTTGCAAATTTTCGCAGACATCGCGTTAAGAACCAAAAAGTTATGACAGAAAATTTGTCACAGCAAAATGCTCTAGTATTAATTACGGAGCCACCTTAAGGTCAGGGTTTGGCATTGAAAGCAGGGTTAAGCACTGACTTCAAGAAGGTGGTGGACAAAACACTGACCCCCATTCCATGAACTACCCCCAATGACTACCCTAAAATGGACTATGCCACTGAAGTTAAGTGATTAGGGTTAGGAAACTGAGTGAATCAGGTTCCATTTAGGGTCATTATACTGGGAAAACTGACCTGAAACTTCATTCACTCAGTTTCCTAACCCTAATCACTAAACTTCAGCGGTGTAGTCCATTTTAGGGTATGTCCGTGAAGTGTGGGTCAGTGTTTTGTCCACCACCCTTCAAGAAGTGTTTATTCAGGTTTGTCACTATATTAATTTTACTGTATGTACCAGTATTTGTTTAAAGCAGATAGTAGCAGTTAATCCGAGATATTTAAAGTTTTTCACTTGACTCATGACTCATCAACTCAATTATTTAATTGGCTCTATAATTTCAACTCCTTGACCAATAACGTGGCCTAATTTTAAACCGGCATTTTCTTGGCCTTTACTAGAAATGCCAAAGCTCATTTAGTGCATGTTTTTTTCTAATATAAACACAACAAGTTATACTGTCAGTCCTCTACTATACCCCCACCTGAATGCTTAGGCCAATATTACATGGCACAAGGCTAAAGAGAGTGAGAGACATACTAGAAATGCCGCACTGACTACTGCCAACATATAGCATGATTTGTGCCAATTCCTTTTTGTGCCAAGGAAGTGGTACATTCATGGTTGTCTTGTTGTAGTCCTCTAAGGAGAGGGAGGCTGAATAGAGGATTTACAGTAAAAGGTCTAAACGGAATTTTTGCCAGTTCACTCTCTATGGAGATGAAACGGTTTGAGGCAATTGTTCAGTTTTCCCCTTATAACCTAGTTATGGTCAAAAGATACAAATATCAAAATCAATCTGAAATGTCATTCTGAATATAAAATGGGTGTAAAAGCAAATTCTAATCATTTTTTTAAAGATACTCCTTTGTTGTGAAGGATTTTGGTAGAGATCTCTTGACTATCACAATTTGCTGGCATAGCATGGGCATAGGGTTCTATTATCAACCCGTTATCGCTTGTTATAAAGAAATGAACTGGCCCCCTTTTTGCGAAAGAGTAATGTATATGAAGGGAACTATACAATATCATAAAAGTATTTAGGTGGCCACTTACGAATTTAAACTGTCTCAGACATGTTAGTTTATACCTAACCCATTCGGTTAACTCAACATAATGATTCTAGTCATACCGACTCGTACCTTAACCCTCTAAGCTTCATTATCCACATACAAATAACATTGTCCACACTTATCTCTTTACATTTCCTTAAAGATTTAGATGACAGAATTTGGTTGAGGATTAAAGCATTTTCCCTTTGGTGATTATTTCATTACTTGTCATAAACATTCCTCTGGATAATGTATTGATATTGTTTCGAGAAAATTGATTTCGGTCGATCATGGGACTTGAAGAGTTAAATTTTCTTTTACTTTGATCTTTGATATGTTAAAACAACCTCATCTAAGGCAATAACATGGTGTAATCTGGATAAGCAATTAGCTTATCCCACTTCTTTTGGCTGATTTTAAAACTTAGCCTTGGACTCTTTCATTCTAAAGTAAACTAAGAAAATGTGATGATTTTATAATGTAAACTACACTCACAAAACATGTTGAAAAGCACTGTATACAATAGTGAATATGCATCACTAAAACCAAGCACAACTAAATCATAATTATTTTCACGGCACCTTCATTTTTTTGGTTTCTCTTTTTTCCTTAATCTGTGCCAGTACATGCCGAATTCTGTATTATTTGGCATGCTTGACACAAACATCTTCTGACCTTTGATAACATGACATGTTATTGTACCTTACAAGCAGAGGAAAGTGAAAATGGGCCGCAGACGTGTCATCTAAAACAGGGCATATACTTGTGCACCAATACAATTGTAATTTTTCCCACTTTAAGTATCTACCCTAAGAGGCCGACTAGATTTTTCTGCAAGAAAGTAAATTTGAAAGACTGGTCACCTGACGTCCTTTTTGGGTGCGACATTACCCCGTCTTTGGTCTTTGGCGTCTTCAGATTGCTTATTTTATGATACTCTTGACACATGATCATAGTTACTAACCCTCAATATGTTTAGGTTAATTTTGTTTAAAACTTGAACGTTTCTAAACGTCACTTCTACTAGGACGGGCCATAACTCAGCAGGATTGAGTGAACCTGTATGGAACGACAACATGTGTAAATGAAAAAAGGTGGAAAGTTTCTTCTAATACAATGGGGGGACATGTGGTAGTAGCGGTTTGATTTCCGTCCAAGTCGCCACTGCATGTTTTGCTTCTCCCAGTACCAGTCAGCCTCAGGTCTAACAAGGATGTAATGGTCATCAGGGGGCGTTGCTGGCAGGAAGTGTTGTTTACAGCCGTAGCATTTTCTTACATTTCCCCAAATTGTTCCCACTTGATATGGGACATTTCCTTTAAGAATAAGTTGAGAGAATTTGATAAAAGATCAAAGCATTTTTTCTCTTTGGTGATCATTTTGTTAGTTCTCATAAATTTATCTATTGACAATGTATGGATATCATTAGGAGAAAATTGTTGTTGGTCACTATTGTGACTTAAAGGCTTAATAGCTGATTCTCCAATTTGTAATCAATGACTAATCAATACCCCACAAAATGTTAGCTAGTTCATCAATCATAGATATATCATAGGCCTTGTCAAATTGGCCAAAACAAAAAATAATACAGCCCCCTCCCTCCAGCATTTTGATTAGGAAAGTAAAATACAGGCAATGTTTTGATGGTGCAGAGAAACACGTTTGAAATAGGAAACTTCATGTAAAGCAAAATGTGTAAAGGGTCATAGATCTTTGTATCTCAGGTGCAAAGAAAGTCTTGACAATGTTAATGCTCACTGGGAACTTGCTTAAAAATTTACCTTGGTTCGAATTTTATTTTCCTTAACCCAGGAAATAGCTACATAAAAGGGGGTCAAAAGAAAAGTAAATAATTAACCAAGGGTAAAATTGAAACAATAACGTCAATTTTGTGTCAGGATGGTATGACACAAGGTGTAGTGTCAGCTTCAAGTTTTAAAAAATGAGAGCAAGTGTTTTGACTTTGATGATGATGGTAATGGTAGTGGCAATGATAATCTTATGATCAGGAAAAGATATTTAAACTATCTAGATAAATAAATAACAGACTGCAAATTTATATAAGGATTTCTCTTTTTTAAGGCATTGTATAAAAACCTACCTATCTTTTTGTTGTTCTCCTTTTTCCCTTTTTGTTGGAGTACTTTCCAAGGAGGAACTACTTAAAATTTGAACTACCTCTTCAATATTCTGTTGTCAGAGAGAAATACTTCAATTCAAGATACTGAAGTAAAACCGTGCACAACAATGTAATAACTTTTAATGAGTGATGTACATTTACATCCTACCTGTACATCATCATGCCACCTGACTTCAGGTAAATCAGAATCAGAATCTGAGGTATGAAAGAGCAAAAAAAAAGTCCCATTGTAACAAAAAGACCTGAATGCCACTGTTTAAAAACGTGAAAAGTTTCCCACTGACATAAGATAGACAACATTGGCTTTGAAGTGTCGCAAGGATTTGAGGGTTTCTTAACTGTTGCATTTTACTCGTGATCACAAAAAAGAGACTCGTCAGAAAATAACAATAAAATAATCCACCTTTGTTCGGAGGAAAGTGTAATACTGGCAATATTAAACTACAGTAGCTATAGAGTTAAAGTTATCGAATTGGTGATCTTTAGCTTTAATAGATAAAATACTCCCAGCCAATTAGCGAAGAAGGAGACAAAGACTTGAAATAAGTCGGAATAAAACATCATCCCTACATTTAGTTTCAAAAAGTATGACACATTTTCAGCATTCATATCTACATTTCTGCACCTAACAACAATAGAAGACTGATCATGCGGTTATTAATTGTACTGCTGTTATGATTATTTGAGTTATAACCCATTTTGTGCATAGATCGACTTACAACAAACGAGTAAACATTTCTGCATTCGGTTCAATACGGCATAGGCTACAAAAACAACAGATCAGGAGGAACTGAAATCACAAAGATCCTAATCTTGTTGAGGAAATGTATACAACTTGTCCTCTGATTTGTTGATGTTCAAGTATGTTCAGTTTACTATGGTGTAAAATATTACTGCATTACAATGAATACTCACCTTTCAGAAGATCTAACTTCTATCACACCTGAAATATAAGTTATAGAACTATTAGTACTCCGAGTTTTTTGGTCAAAATTGGCACTTGTTTAGGATTAAATTCACTTGTGTTGACAGTAAAGACTCACCAGCCATGTTTTCGCCTCTTTGCACGTGGTGTGTTCCTTTCTGTTATTTCCAGTGCCTCTCTGCCATTTTTCTGCCGTCATCCCGCCATTTTGGATTTTTGTGGAGGTTACCGCTGACAACTCGTTCCCAGACTTCCGTTCCCCGTTCCCCCGCTCCCCGCTCCCCGCTCCCCGCTCCCCGTTCCCCGTTTTAGTAACATCCATTTGAGATGTCATGCTTTACTCCAGCACTTCACTTTCCATTGGAAACTATTTGGTCTTGTAAGCAGAATAGAAAAGAGCGGTACTGGGGACAACTATTTTGGCAAATGGAAAGGGACATTTCGGTCCGACCGACCGAAATGACGGGCGCGATCCATTCAACCAAAATTCAGACCGGTCCGACCGGGAAAAGAGGACCACCTCAAAAGGTGGACCTGTTTTTTCGAAACTTTTCCGGTTGGACCGAACCGATCCATTGAGTTTTGGACCGAAATTTCCGGAAATTTTGGTTGAATGGATCGCGCCCGACCAGACCGGTCACAGTGGACCACCTTCAAAGCTAGTCCCGAATATTCCTATCGGACCAAACCGAAATGGGCCGTTCCATTTGATGTACTACCGGAATTTTGGGTTGAATGGAAAGCGCCCTGAAAACCAGATTGTGGGAGTCGGAAGCAGATGCGGAAGGATAAGCCAATCACAATGCACGTTCCCACGCTTTGTTATTGGCCGGTTTGGTTCTTCTGCTTCCGACAATCTGGTTTTCACTGGATCATAAGTAGCCTGTTCCAGGCGTTCAGATAGTGGGGAGCGGTGCGAAGAAAAAAGGAGCGCGAAAAAAATAAAAGCGAGGGAGGGGGGGAGGTCAGAGAGGGAACGCCTGTTAGATTTGTTTTAAATAGACTCATCCGCCCACTCAGACCGCGTCGGCTGTAGGTGGTCTTCACTTGTCAATTAAGACTGATGCTACAGCCCCATACATTTATTATTGTTCTTAGGAATAAATCAAAATTTCTCACATCAAAATTAATATTATGTGTACATAATTTTACTAAAAACCTAATGTAAGACTTTCAGACAATAGAGAGCGGGATAAGTAATTTATTTACGGCTTGAAAACATGATTTGAGCGTGTACGTGACAAAAAAATTATGAATCAAGTGACAAACAAATATCGCTCATTTCCATAGAAAGCCGTTTCAATACAGATCGTTAACTCGAGCGATGAAAATGCCCAACAAACGAAGGGAAAATTTACTACTCGATGATTGAGTGGACCTCGTCAATAGCGATAGCTGCAACTTGCTTTCCAAGCTTTCCTTTGAAGTCCTTTTGTCCATTCCTTAGACAACCACGATTTGTGACAGCAGTACGCCTTTGAGTGAATTTTTAAGGATCATACAATTTCACAGCTTCCACTTTTAACGGCTTCATCCACATCTTCTCCCATCATTGCCGCCGCTACTCCGATTTTGTTCAAATGTTCCACTTGGTCTTTCATGATGGCAATCAACGGAGTTACCACAACAATCGTAAATGGTATTCTATCCTGCCTTCATTCCAACGCACGCTTTATTCGAGGAAAAAGCTGGAAAATAAGTCTTTTTCCAAAGCCAGTCGGTGAAATTGCGAAGACATCTATCCTGCCGACTACGTGTTTTAAACAGTTCCTTTGCTCTTCGCGTTTTAGCCTCCACGTTTGGAAAGTCACTCAGCTCTGTGTTTGTTGCGAGCTCGAATTCTGGACAGGACGTAGAGTCTGTCATCATCGCCATATCGCATTTCTCGCTGTGATCGAAGACGCTCCACTGTTGACAAAAACTGTCAAAATCAACCAATCAGAGGGTATACCAGGATCTGGTATACCGGAACGCACTTCTGTTAAGAATTCTTACAAGCGTTCCCGCACCTCTCTCCCCAGTCCCCCTCTACTTTTCATCGCTATCTTTACTTCGCACCGCTCTCCACTATCTGAACGCTTGGAACAGGCTAGATCATAAGCGGAACGTAAGCGACGGAGTCGTAAGCGGAATCGGAACGCTGTTTTCAGTAGATCATAAGGTCTACGCTTCTGATTACGACTCCGACTCCGAGTCCGTCACTAGTGAAAACCAGCCTTAAGAGGCCGTGACTACATTATGGAAGTAATGCATACTTCGCTGCGACTGTAATGGAACAAACCGCTTATTCCCTTCGATTCGCTTATTGACCGCCAGTTAGCTGTGAGACTTGACAAGATTCAGTTATGCTTGGAAATGGCTGTTACTGAAAGAGACCCGTGACTTTGAGTCGCTAGCTCAGTTCTTCTGTTTTGTGCTGGCTGTCGATACTACTTTGTTTACATTTATTTTTATAGTTTGTTGTTCACATTTTTCTTCTTTACCCCGGCGACTATTTCTTTTTTCTAGAAAATAACAGTTTCTTAGAAAAATTTATGCATTATACCGAGTCTTTGTTTGACTTTTACCCATTTGCATTTGGTTACTAATGGTCCGTTAGATCAGTTAATGTACTGTTGGGAATTTAGGGGCGTGAATTTGATTATAAGGTCGGGCAATCCGCTGTATAATTAGCTACGGCCGCGGGCCATCAACCTTTTAATTTCAGACATAGTTCAGTTGATTCTCAATTTCCTTTGTCTCCTAGGTAGGTGGGAGACAAATGGAATTGAGAAACAACCTAGTTGAAAAAGTGACCTGAAATCAAATTTGAGTTTGATATAAATACTGATTATGAACACTAAGTCACTCAGAATGCATGCCATATTATGTTATTGAGTTTTACCATGGATGCTACATCAAACTGAGATTTTTCCGAACTACTGAAAATGTGGAAGAACTGTACTTATTAAGTGATAAGGAGTACCTCGAATATAGCTAATATCTACAGCTTAAGCGAACTCTATCATATTTTTATGATGAAAGCATGACATCTTTTACTTGTATTCATTTATAGGCCATATAATTATGCATCCTTAACTGACTGCGTTTAACGTCTGCCTCTTCATAATTTTCAAAGTAGAGTTTATGCTGATTGGATTCTGATCGAGATACGAATTAATGCGTAGCCTGGAATTTTCAGCTGTCTCCTAGAGTCGCAAACTCCCGAGACGTCTGAATCAACGAGCCGCTAAAAAGCTTGAATGAATTGCCAAGTACAATTAAGGATTTTCATGGCAACTGAAAAATGGATGGTTAGAAGTACTGGCGTTGGTGGCTTTATTTTTCCTCAAAAAAGGAACCTTTGGTGCTAATAACTCGTAGGGGGGTTCCCTAGATGTTATACTTGCTTTTTTGAGAAGGGCAAATAGTAACTTTGATAAATAGCAGTTCTTCAATCTCACTCCACATTCAGCATAAAGTTGTTCTTCTTGTAGTGCTTACTGTATTCGCCGTAGGTTTCTGACTATTCAGTTCTTCTTTGCAAAGTTATAGAAGGCATAAAATTAATGTTTCATTCTATAGAACCCTTAGCCACAATAAAATTACAGTTGTAATAGCGCATCCGAGAATCTTGGTGAAATAAGGCTCACCACCGAGTAGTCTCTGGTCTGTTACCTGCAGGGGTACTTACCATGTAGGGCAACCGCAAATTCTGGTTGGAAAATCGAATCTTTGCGCCATTTGGTTTGGGAAGCCTCAGAAAATATGGGCTGTGTTTTGGGATGATGTAATTTTTCTACGGTTTTTAGTATGTTCACATGAGTTGGATATACATTGTAGCGGGTCTCCCACCACGTCAAATTTTATAGTGTCATTTTTACGCACACGATTTCCGGCCGGGTGGTTTGTCAGAAATGGGTCTAAACGTTGAGCACTCGGAGTGTACAACATCCTTTATTTAGGTTTCAGCTTATGAGTATTCATTTGGTGACTTTTTATTTTATCTCCATTTTAGGGTTGCGAACAAGTTAACAATTGACGCAAGGTCAGATTTTTTTGCCCATGGCGTTCCCTGTTACCATTAGTATTCCAGAAAACATTTCCGGTCCAAGCGATGGCTTCATTAAACACGTAGAGTTTCACGGCGCAGACGAGACAAATTTCTCCTTCACGTACAAAAAACTGGAAAAAACCCTGTTGTTTGAATACCTGAGACGAAACGAAACATTAAGTCACGAGCATGTTATGACTGTAACCTTTAAAACGCCGACGGTCCACTTCTGCGTTGACGTCTTAAAAAGCGGCATTTTTTGCGAACAAAAACACTACCGTTTTCTTGGTTATTCTGAAAGTCAAATGACAGAGAAAACGTGCTTTATGATGCACATTTCAGAATCCGGAATTCATGATCTCCTGTCAGAGTTTGGCGACTTCTACCAGATAACGGATCCCCGGTCGCGAGCAAGAAGGTACGGTTTGTTATTTGCAACATTTGATAACTTACTGGAACTAAGTAGAGATGACGTCGTGGTCGAACCAGATGTAAAAAGTCGCTTTGGAAGACACACATTCACTTCTGGCTGTGGGTTTATGTATCCGCAATTTCATGCCAAGTTGCAAAGTCAGCTTAAAGGTACCCGGTATCCGGAACCAAGCGCTATCTTAGTTCGCTACCAAGGGTTTGAAGGCACGTTAGTCCTGAAAGATGGGCCCCCAAATGTCAGTCACCAAGTACAGTTGCACGAGTCTATGCAGAAACTCGACATCCAAGAGGTGATGAAGGATGCAATTACGTTTATGTGTGTGGTGGACCATTCTAGACCTCACGAGAATGGTTATCTCGACATTCTTCTTACTATGCTCCTAATAGACAGAGGAGTATTAGCTGAGTACATCAAGAGTCTACAGAAGGGTTATTATAAACTTTTGAAGAAAATGTGCAAAGATAAAGCTTCAGCAGATTTGTTCCTTCGCTTAACTGGACGAAACTACTCCGTGAATCGAAATTTGACGTCACAGCTGCGACAAGACGAGATTGATAAAATGATCGATTATGTCGATGACCCAGAACATGAACAGCCAAAACTGAAACGCGTTCCACGTACTTACATTTTGGTACCAAAATCGAGAATGGTATTCGGCGTATGTGATCCTCACGGCGAGTTGAACTACGACGAGTGTTACTTCAAACCAACTCTCTTCAGTGACGAAAGTGAAGAGTTCGCAGATAAAAGCAAGGTCATCGTGGCTTGCATTCCCTGTCACCATCCAGGAGATATACGAGTTTTGACACTCACGCATGACAAGTCGGGATACGAAAACCTGAATGACTGTCTAGTGCTGCCAGTGAAAGGTCCCCGCTCACACGCTTTTGAGTGTGGCGGAAGCAATTTCTGCGGGACCAAGTTCTTCGTCAGCTGGGATGAATCCCTTATTCCCAAAGAAAACGTTAAACCGTGTTCCTATTTACCAAGCATCAGAGAACGTATCTATATAGAATGGGCCAAATTTTGCACAATACTCCTTGGACATTCTCGTCGCAAGAATGTAAAGGTAAGTCAAGAAGAAATGATCGACCATTTTGCCACGTTCGTGGATAACTTGCCAAAACGGATAGACCAGACATACAAGAGATTTGCAAAAGCTTTTGGTCCTTCTTCAAACGAGTGTAAACAGTTGAGCAAGATGTTTTATCAAGCAACTCACTTGACAGTTAACGCAACTGTCCTCCAGAAAAGGTTGGCACAAGAGTTCGAGCACAAAGACCCAGCAAGATCAAGAACTTCTTCAGGTGATCAATCACCGACAGAAAGATCAGGTCTTCTGGACTCGGATGAGGACGAAGAAACCCCGGAAACACATTTCACCGGAATCTTCGAAAGGAATAATGAAGGGTTGTTGAACCAACTCTTTTATCAGCTCCGGAATCGGCGTTCCTCTTGTCGTAGAAAACCTTCATCAGCTCCTGACTATGAAGCACTCTGGAACGAATTTGATGAACAAACAGCACGTTTTGTTGAAGAAATGGAACAAGGGCAAGATTTTAACTGATATAGCAAGTTAAAGGCTAGCAAGAATCAGGGGGTCATTTCACAGTATAATTTTTATGCTTATCTTTGGATCTGTTGGAAACAAATTCTGAAAACAATATTGCTAAGGAGGGAAACTATAGAAGACTGATAACGTTGTGTAGTGGCAAATTTTTAAAGAGAGAGTACATCTTCTAAGTTTATTCATGGCGATAGATCAAACTAGCGAGCCTAATTCCATTCACAAAAGCTTGAAAACAAGGCTGTGAATGCTGAAGTGGTATGTCAGTAGTTTGTATGCATGTGCGGACACAAACATGGAGCGGATAAAAGACAGTCACTCAATGACCATCTTCTTAGAAACTTTACCATCACGTTTGATTGCTATATTACAAAGATATTATCACGAAGACCATTAATCTGAACATCTAAACTGACTCTCCTTTCAGTTAAATGTCAACCAACAGGATTTATTCAAATATTAGCTCGTCACTGTGATTGTTTTCACCGTGAGAAGTTATATTGAAACTGATCAAGACATGTGTTTTGATTGGCTGTTTGAGCGGGCAAGACAAGCCCATTCAGGAGAGAATAACTAAGACAGATGCCCCATTGTTCTTTCATAGGCTGAACTGAAATCGGTCTTGTCCTTTTTGGTTTTTTTATAGTCAGTACTTCGAATTCGTCCTAGTACATTGAAACGAGCGCGCGCGAAAAACAACTAAAAAGAATATATTATTGGCCAATATTTAGCTATTTTGAACTGACTCTTGGTCAATAACGCGTAGATATTTTATTTTCAGTTCAAAATTTTTCGTTCAAGTTCAGTTTGACTTCATAATTAATTAGTGAAAAAGTGCACAAACGTCGAGACCAAATTTGCTTTTATATTCTGTAGTTTTAGGTGTGGGTTTTAAGAAAAACAGTAGCGTAAAATTTTGTTGTTGTAATTATACTCTAAATAACCATTAATAAGTAAATTTAGGGTGATAGAGAAGCTGGTTTAAGAGTGATATTTGGCCGAGTACAGAAAGCCAAAGGTAATTCGCTTTTGGTCATTTTTCATAATACTTTACTTTGATCGCCTTCTTGAATCAGGAAACTCAAATAAAGGCTGTTTACCTTACATAACATTTATCAGCCCTTAATTACTGTTAATATATGTTCTGTGTAATATTTAAGCTCGAGTTTACCTGGCCCTGTGCTATATTCTCCACTTTATTTTTTTTTTCCTGTTGGGGGGCAGGTTGGAATTTGTCGTCGAAAGGGTATTAGCTTCATATTCTCCGATATTATTTGCAGGCTCAAAAGTAGAAATTCCGGTTAACTTTCACCACAATTTTAAAGGAGCTGTGTCACGAAATTCAGCCAAATTAGGAAATTACAAAATGCCCGTTAAATCAAGAGAAACATAAAAATAATCGCTTAAGGGACCGGTCATTATTTATCGCCTGGGGGGGGTCGGAGGATTTTGGGCTAAACACGATGAAATTTAGCCGATCCCCCCTTTAAATGTTATTTTATTGAAGTGATCCCCCCTCATAACTATATACAACTTTCTTGATCCCCCCCCCCCTATGTCTTTGTGCCCATATTCACCTTTCGACGTGTATATTTAGTGTTTTAAACGTTCATATACAGGTAGTATTTCTAACTATGATGTACTTACAGCATAATAAAGCCGTTATCGCGCAGTCTTTTTTTAAAAGTGTCTCTTGATCCGTGTCTTTTTCTAGTCTGGATCCAGACATCTGAATTCAGTTGACATACAAGCAATCTTGCTTAAAACTGCAAAGTGCTTGA